CCTCCTCCAACAAAACCACATCTCCTAATCCTTCTCAAACAGTTCCATCAACTGGGGACCAAGTCTTCAGACATATGAGACTATGAGGGCCATGCTCATTCAAGCCACCAGAGCTCCCAAGTAACAACAGAGCAGGGCATGGACCTGGAATGACAAAGGGTCCTGATAGTGGCACCTCTCTGAACCCAGGGTTCATGCTACCAGATACCATCTTTGAGGTCACTTCAATGCAAAGAAGTCCCAAGTCAAGGAAGGTCAAGAAGAGCAGGGATGTCTGTCTTGTCTAAGACCCACCTTTGAATTTACAAATTTGTGGGCTCTGTACTTCTTTAAATGAAATGGGATGGCCATTCATTCATTCACTCATTCAACAAATATTCATGCTATACAAGAGGAACAGAAGAAAAACTAAGGGACTTGATGCCATTCCCTCAAAGTCCATACCTGTCTATAAACCAGATTCCTTGGCCTTCATTTTCAACATAGAAGCTTTCAAAGCAGGCACAGAGTGTAGCTGGAAGAGCAATTTCCCAATGATTTGACCCAAAAAAATCTAAGTCTGAGCCCCCCAAGAGAAGGTATTTACCCCAGACCTACTAAATTCCATTCTCCAGAGGGAGATGTGATGGAGGATAAGGGGGTGGGAATTGCTTTTAAATAACTCTCCAGGGGTGACTCCTCTGTACATAAAGGTTGGAAAGCACCACTTTGATTCTACCCTCATTCAGCCTCCTGTGATTTTATTACCGCACCCTGGACTGAAAAGTCCATGCTCAACAGTAATTTGTGGGTCACAGTTCTTGAGACTGAGAAGTACAAGATCCAGGTGCCAGCATCTGGGTATCTGGTAGGGCTTCAGGAGGGCCTGGTGGGGCTTGGTTTCTGTATTCTCACATGGCTGAATTCCCAAAGCTGCTTCCTCATCTGTAGGCTAGGGCAATAATTCAGGGTGTGTGTGTATTCAGGACAATGTGCAGAGAACCATCCACCCTGCACACAGAGGCTCAGACTTGGCTACTATACACACCGGCCCAACAATGGAGAAAGGCAGAGGTAGTGTTGCACAAAACAAGATTTCACTCCAAGTTTTGGCTCTGAGAGCTGCCTGGTGCCTTCAGGCTTCGTGGTTGGCACTCCATCAGCCTTCACTGCTATCCACACCTATGCTTCTCCCTGAAGGGAATCCATGTCCTCATTCCTGATTCTCTTCCCCGTTGCTGATAACAAAACCCATCTTTAGGATGGCTCTGGGTCTTGGAGGGCAGGTTCTCGGGAGGGTGGAAAACAATTCTATCCTGAGATTCTGAGACTAAAGGCTTTCCTGGGAGGAACTGTAATGCAGCTGCAGCCCACTGCTGCAGAGATTGCTGCAGCCTCTCGCAGGTGTGGCCGCATTCCACCTGGGAGTGCCTTCCTGGGGGGGGGGGGGCAGCCTTCTTCCTCTTCATCACCTCATTGTCTGCTTTCACCCATCAAATGCTGCCCATGCTGAGGACAATGGAGACCAAGGATAGGAGAAAGATGCCTCCCTGCTCTTCTCTTCACACTGCTAAGCCCTTCTGAGGACTCCGGGTCAATCTGATCTACCCCATGACCCTCTTGCTGTGGTGAGGTAAGCACGTGCTCTGGCTATGGGGTTTTTGTGCCCCACTTTGTTATAACAGTGGCTTATAATTGGATTAACCATGTTTCCAATACTACCTACAGTGTTTGGAACATTCAAATCAAATTTGCTATTAATTAAATGTTTAATGAGTCTTAATAAACTATTAGATGAGTTAAATAAATTGAACAGCCAAGGCTTGTGATTTGAATATTCCCCTTAAGCCCACAGGCCCAACATGGAGCAACCTAACAAAAACGCAAACTAAAATAGGTCAGATTTCTTGCTTTAAACGAGTCTGTAAACAATTATTGCAAACTACTGAAGAAGTGAGTTAGTATTCGCTGGATGGCACTGTTGTCCTTGGGAGAGTCTCAGTATTATGAAAATTGCTATGTTTACTTGAAGCCTTTCCAAAAGTGACTTCCAGAAAGCACATGCACGCACCGAGAGAATGTAAGGAGTCGTGCTGAAATAGTTGGTCAAGCCCAGTCGTGCCACAAGCTTCCCTGGCCTTGTTCCTTCCCACTGACTAAACAGCAATGCATAAGCCAGGTGGTGGGGGCGCACGCCTGTAATCCCAGCACTCACGCGGCAGAGACAGGAGGATCTCTGTGAGTTCAAGGCCAGCCTGGGCTACCAAGTGAGTTCCAGGACAGCTAGAACTGTTACACAGAGAAACCCTGTCTCAAAAAAAAAAAAATACAAAACAAATACAAAAGAGTACTAAAGTTAAAAGTTCCCATGAAAAGAATAAATCACCTCCAATTTACTTTTTGAACAAATGTTGAATATGAACTATTCATTAATAGGTATTAAGATGATGATAATTTCAGTTTCCTTGGCAACAAAGATCAAATCACTGGAATGAAGACCTTCAAGCATCTTTATTGGTTCTAAGTCAGTGGTTCTCAACCTTACCAATGCTACCATCCTCTTATACAGTTCCTGGTGTTGTTGACCATAAACTTATTTTCACTGCTACTTCAGAATTATAATTTTGCTGCTGTTATAAACTGTAATGTAAATACCTGTGTTTCTGGTGGTCTTGGGCAACCTCTGTGAAAGGGTCACTTGACCCCAAGGGGTCCCAACCCACAGTTTGAGAACCACTGTTCTAAGTGATGATCATGTTTATGGTACAGTGATGTGTCTGATGCTGGCATCACAGAGTCAAGCAAGACACACTCAGAACATGTTGAGCTCAGTGAGCATCTCCCTTGGAGTGCTGGAGGAGTAACAGTCATGGAAAATCCAACCAGGGACCAAAGGGAAATGGTAGTGAAATGAGAGCCACACACATCACAGCTTGGCTTTAGGCTTAGGACTTCTCACAGGGCAAGACCAGGCTCAGCCTAGACAAAAGCCCAGCTCCAGGGACAAGACCAGGCTCAGCCTAGACAAAAGCCCAGCCCCAGGGACAAGACCAGGCTCAGTCTAGACAAAAGCCCAGCTCCAGGAGCATTGTGACTGACGGACCTGGACCAGGCACAGCAGCATGTGTTTCAGCTGACAGTTCAGCAGTATTTGAATGTGGGAGCACCTGGAGAGGGTGGATGCAGATCAAGTAGGCCAAGAATTTCTGACTCATTCATTCATTCATTTATTCATTTAACCTCTCTCTCCTGCCACCTATCATTCCAGACCCAGTGCTGGGGACAGAGGACCAAGACAGGGGTCAGACAGCTCTTACTTTCAGGGAATTCAGAATATGATAGAAAAGCCATGTTATGGGTAAGTTATTATGACTCAGGGTTATAAAGGAACAAGGGTTCCTCCACCCCACCTAGCAGAGGTCTCGAAGACACAGTGGATACTGGCATCCCATGGAAGGACCAATGGGAGGCTCAGAATGTGACTTCAGCTGTATAGAGGGATGGCATGGCCCTCTGGAGAAGAGTGGTCAGCCCAATAGGCTGCATGGAGATCATCAATCTTCCAGCCTCAGGTTGACTCTGTGGGTCCTCAAGTTCACTCTGAAACTTCATAACATCTTCTGGCACTCTGAGGAAAGACTCATGACCAAGAGACACAGGTCCAAATGCAGTACCAAAGGACATGGTCCTGAGGTGACTCTTAAGGAACATGAGCAGAGCCAGGTGAGTGGACAGGATTCCGTTTTCTGGAACTCCAGTGTCGGACTACTGTGCTATGCTGCTCCGTTCTAAAGACTGCAGGGGAAGACTGGGACACTCTGAAGGCAGAAGATCAGAGCCTGCACGGGCTTCTCTTCACTTGGACTACAGGCCTCTGCTTTATTTTCCTTCGCAGGTGTGACTTCCTGCCCTGCTTTTTTTCCTCGGCCAACTGGAAAACAGCTGAAGGGTTACCACAGCATGGGACAGGCTCCAGGGCCCTGAAAACCTGAATGACTGGCAGAGCTGGAGTGCCCAGTTCTTTGTTACTGAGCTGAACTGCGAACATGCTAAGACTGCTAAATGGTTTGAGTTGGACTTCCCCCACAGGCTGAGCCACAGGCCTGTGGAGGTCTCTCCCCTCCGGCCAGGCTGAGCCACAGGCCTGTGGAGGTCTCTCCCCTCCGGCCAGGCTGAGCCACAGGCCTATGGAGGTCTCTCCCCTCTGGCCAGTTTCAGGACAGCAGCTTCAAGCTGATCCCTCCCCACAGCGCTCCTCTCCACACCACCCCTCAAGCTGGGCCCTGACCTGCCTCTCTTCCCAAAGGTACAGGCTCCCACATCTGCCGCTCCTGCCCTTCACAGCTGCTGCCACCCACTCTGTCTCTCTAGTCTTCCTCTTGGACTTCCTGTGTCCCTAATCCTCTCCTTACTTTTTCTGAAAGCAGCACAGTGGGCCTTTTCCTGGTTAAGGAATTTACAGCTAGTCACTAAGTAGATACAAACACAAGGGGGCGGGGGTAAGGAAGGGCCATGGGAGACGTGGCATTCATGTTGGCAGGTGATTAATTCCCTCCCTTGACTCCCTTCTTGGACATTCCCACATAAATTCCAATATTGTTTTCATTCTCTAGCTCTAGCCGCAGAATTGAGCCACTGTGGTGGTATTGCGTTCCCCAAAATATCGTGTACCCTAACAAACTTATCTGGGGTCAGAGAACAGAAAAGCCACTAGATACTTAGGATAGGCAGTGGTAGCACACGCCTTTAATCCTAGCATTCCAGAGGCAGAAATCCATCTGTTCAAGGATACAGCCAACCATGGTGACTCACACCTTTAATCCCAGAAAGCAAGCCTTTAATCCCAGGGAGTGGTGGTAGAAAGCAGAAAGGTATATAAGGCGTGAGGACCAGAAATTAGAAGCATTTGGCTGGTTAAGCATTTTGGCTGGTTAAGCTTCAGGCTTTCGAGCAGCAGTTCAGCTGAGAGCCATTGGGATGAGGACACAGAGGCTTCCAGTCTGAGGAATCAAGACCAGCTAAGAAGTTGGCCAGGTGAGGTTAGCTGTGTCTTGTTCTGTCTCTCTGATCTTCCAGTGTTCACCCCAATACCTGGCTCAGGTTTGATTTTATTAATAGAACTTTAAAGATTCATGCTACAAGCCACTGTGCCTACTCTAATCTAGTACAGTGTGAGGAAATCTGGGCTCTCCAATGAGTTCCTACCTCAGAGTGTTCTCTTTTCACCCTCTCCCTTTCCCCAACTGCACCCCTCCCTCGTCACCTGCCCTGGTCACCCTTGGGCCCTGGCTGCTCTTTACTTCCCACCGGAGAGAGGTCTTCCCTGGCCGGAGAGAGGTCTTCCCTGGCAGGGGGCTTCACATAAAAGTGAAGGGAAGTAAATCTGCATTCATCCCTTTCACCTCATCCTGAAGGTCTGCACACCAGGCTGCCTTGTAACCATCCTTAGTAAACAACGGAGAGCCAAAAATGGAGGTGGGCCAAGGATCAAGAGAACTGGGTATGGGTGTTTTGCGTGCGTGCGTGCGTGCGTGCGTGCGTGCGTGTGTGTGTGTGTGTGTGTGTGTGTGTGTGCGTGTGCGCGCGCACGCCTTTGCCTGTATGTGTACCATGTGTATGCAGTACCTACAGAGGTCAGAGGAGGGGATTGGATCCTCTAGAACTGGAGTTATAGACGGTTGTGAGCTGCCATGACTCATCTTTAACGCAGGCCATGGCATCAAGAGCAATAAGCACCATTATCAAGGGCGGCTGGCATGGGTTTCTCGTTTTTCTCCCTGGGAAATGTTCTCTGGATTCGGAAGGGGAGGCTGAACATAGCAGCCATGCTGGGGAAAGCCCCAGCTTCACACTTCTGCTCTCTCACTTAGTTCTTCCGGGATAGAGAACCTGCAGAGCTCTGGGCGTGATTAGAAGGATAAGGGCATTTTCCTTATTAAAAATTGAACAATGCAGATCTTTCTTCTGGCTAAAGCACCTGTATGCCACCTCATACTCAGGTTAGCAATGAGTCATTTGAAAAAGATAAGTCTCTGGCTTTCATTCAAGATCAGAATCCAGGGTTTGCGGGACAGGGAGTAATTTCTTGTCTCTTCTCTTAATGGGAAGACAAGAAATCACAAATCAACCTTCACATTTTACAAATGGAGACCTGATGCCCAGAGAGTCAGGCGATACATCCACAGTCCTAAAGCAAGTCAACTGCAGGGCCCAAACCACATCATGGTCTCCAAACTCCCAGTTCAACAGCCTTATTGCTGTGTAAGATAAGGCACCATTTTCTCTAGGCTCATTGGAAAGGGAACAGTGAAAAAATACAAGGAGCAAAATATTCATTTTTGGGGTTTTCTGTAGACATCAGTGACCTGTTATCCCGGCTGTCGCTGCCATTTCCTCCTGTGGAAAGTTGGGTCCTCACCCATCAGTCTTGCTTTGGCTTTAGTTCCTACTAGGGCTGGTTTAGTCTTCACGGCTCAGGACCTCTCGGCTTGAAAACAGACGAAAAGCAATCTGCTCACACTCATGTTCCTTCCCACACTCAAACAAACATGCAAATAAGCCCTGTTCTTCCACAACAGCCAGATCAGAGTAGCCAGAGGGCCCACAGTGCAAGATCCAGGGGCGGGACCAGCAGGTCACCTCCAAGGGGTTCCTGTTGTAGTAGATGCCCAGGTTGATTCTCCGCCTCTTGCTAGCTGGATGTGAGTACAAGAGCCATGTTGGTGATGGTGTTCCACCGCCTCCCTCCAGCTCCAGAGAACTGTCCAGCAGAGGGTGCTTCTGGGTAGTGGGAGCATCTTTACCACTTGGGTCTTGTGAGTAGGGCATCTTCAAGGGCCGGAAGCTCACTACACTGCCTTGGCAGCCAGTGCGGGGCTCATGGAGCTGTGGGTTCAGAGTTGGTTTCTGAAAGCAGTCACCGCAATCAGTGCTAAATGATTCTGCTCGGAATCTGTTTGGTGTCCGGGCACTGCAGTAGAGCACCAGGTTACCTGCCCTCCCAGTCACTTCGGCCACTTGGCACTCGCCTGTCACCTGAGGCCCAATGAGCTTGCCATGCTGCCACGTGACTCCTAAGTCATCACTGTAGATCATCAGGGAATGGGGCTTGACCGAACACGGAAAGCAGAGGAACCAGCGTGAGAAATGGTAGGCGTAGGCAGGGATGACCAGCCTCCCTGACTGCAGCTGGATACCATGACCTGGGCCCACAGCAAACGTGGCCCAGTGCTTCAGCTCTGAGCCAACAACCTCCTCAGTCAAGTCCTTCACTTCACCCCACGAGCACCCGGCGTCCTGACTGCAAACGAAGCACAGGCGAGCCGCATTCTTGCCTAACGTAATTTGCCGATGCTCAGTAATGTGGTCCCGCACACAGATGAAAAACAGGTACACACGGCCAGTATTCTGCTCCCACACAGGGCAGGGGTTCATGGTCCGATGACCAGGTAATGTGGCTTCCATCAGTGGCTGCAGGGGTCCCCACTAGTCAAGGGGAAGAGAAGGAGATAATAGGAAGACACAAAGCTCATCAAAAGCATCAATTCTTTTCGCAAACAATCTATGACATTGAAATGGACAGAATCTTGAAGGCCCAAATAATCACAAAATCTGTAACTATTACAAAGTGTCTTTAAATCGGAAAAAAGATAATACTAGATATTGTAAAAAGCTGTGCTCTCTCAAGAATGTTCTTCTTTGCTTCATCTGGACTTCCAAATCAATCTCCAATTCCCAACTCCAATGTCACCTCCTTTGGGAAACCTTCCTTGAAACTCACTGGTCTAACAAGTTATAGCAGCTATATAACAACACTATGCATATTTTTGGTAACTATCTCCCTTTTTAGACTAGGAGCTTTTTGGATAATACCTAAATTATATGCAATTGTATCTCCAATACCTGGCACACATGACAGCAGCCAATAAAAGTTTACCAAAAAATGGGAGGAGGAGGGTGAAGAGAATGAAGAGGTGGAAGGGAAGAAAGAAGAGGAGGAGGAGGAGGAGGAGAAAAGAAGGAAGAAAAGAAGGTAGGAAAGAAAGGAAGGAAGGAAGAAAGAAAGAAAGAAAGAAAGATAGAAGAGAAAAGAGGAGATGGGGTCCGTGAGACCACTCAGAGTGAAGGTGCATGGCACCAACCTATCCTAGAGCAAATGAAACACCTAAAACTCTGGGCTCTGTCACCACAGGGCTGGGCCTCTGTGGAGTCTGACCTGGCAAGCTACAGAAGATCTAATGACACACAGTAAAAAACAGGGACTGGAAAGTCCTCAAAATACAAACTCCTCAGAAGGAACTGGGAACCGGCGTCATTCAAAGCAAGGACAGGGGCTCAGCAGTCACATCATCACTGTGACCCAGCAAAGGACCCACTTTGAGTGTGCAGCTCAGGCGGGGAGGAGCAGGACAGCAGGCAGGTTAGGAGACGAAGCGTTCAGGACAGCTGAACTAAGGGTGCTCCCTGCCCTGGGTGGTTTTACCAGGGCACAGAAAACAAACAAACAACAACAACAAAACCAGGCCATTATAGGGTCTGAATGCACCACAGAGGCCTCAGGAGCCCGAGTTTGTTTTGCTGCTGGATTAGAGATGCATGACTTAGAGTAATGAGAAACTCTGCCCAGTTCTCCCATGTGCCAATCATGACTGACAGCAGTGCCTAGGGTACAGACTGGCCATAAAATCCAATGGACCCCTGGCACAGAATAACTCAGGAAAAGCCACTGGTTTTATTATTTACCCCTCAGCTCCCCACACAGAGATTTGCTGGCCAAGGTGGAGAGAAAAAGAACAGACCCGGACGTGCACTCAGCTCTGAGGAGAGAAGATGAGGCCCAGGCCCCGGTCTGGGAAGAGTCACCTGTACAGAGAGGCCCTTCATCACCCCTCTCCTGAACACCAGGTAGAGAGCATCCACGTCTCTGCTTGTGGAACGCTTCTCTGCGAAGGCCAGGAAGGTGTGGACGGGAGGGATATAGAGCAGGGCTGGGATCCGGTAGGTGATCCCTTTCTGGTCTTCCTGCTGGAACAGAGTGCTGTTGATGGGACACGGTGACACTTCTTCCATGGCTTCTGCAAGGACAGTAAACAGTTCAGTGGGGGTCTGCACACAAGGTCACCGCTGAGGGCACAAGCCAGCTGTGGACATGCTCAAATGTCCACTGTTTCATATAAAGAGAACATCATGGCCTCAGCAGCCCAAAGCAAATAATATGCACCCTCAGTCAACAAATCTGCTCTCCAGACATGTTGATTTCTTGGCCTGGAGTTCCCAGGTTATTCAGATGACTATAAACTAACCCACTTGAGCAATATCCCAATTAACAATCCTCAAGCTCTCTCCCTCTCCTGAAGGCCAGGAGACAGGACAATCTTCTGACTCACCTGTGTCAGTAAGGAGGTTCACCCCTAGTTCACTCTATGTGGAGCACACACAAGAGAAGGGTAGATTCTCAAGGGATGCATCTTGGTGTTGTGAGCTCAGTTCCATGTGCTCTGGCACAGGTGGACCTGCAGCTTGGGCAGCTGTGACAGGGTATTAAAAGCCACACTTTTACATGTGACCGGCTAAGTGTAGTTCAAGGGGTAACTATTGTGGCTTTGAGTTTTCTCTTATTTCCAGCCCTCTGGAGATTACATTCTTGCAAATTCAGCTACATGGATCTTTGCTATATTTTATCTGCCATTTGCCAGGCTAGCGGGTCTGTGATAACATGGAGACTGGAAGCCTCCAGAAACTCTGAAAGTGTCCAGATAACCCACTTGTCAGAGGTCCCAGGAGGGACTCAGACCAAACAGACAAAAATAGGTCTAGGATTTAAACTTTCCTTCAAATGATCTGTCACCCAAGGCTCATCTTACAAATATTTTACATAAACAAATAAATAAAAGCGCTAGGCCAATGAGTCCCTCTTTATTTATTCAGCAAACATTTCCGAGTGCCTACACATATCAGGCCCTCACAGCAGCGTTGAGGAGCCACCTGTTTTTAAGCTGAGAACAGCTGAGGAGGGCAGCCGATCTGCACACAGATAAACACCAAGAAGTATGCGCCATCTTAGGGAGGAACACAAGAGCAAGCAGGAAAACCGAAAAGGCACACCTGTGCGGATGAAAGCCCCAGAAAAGGACTTGTTGAGAAGGTAGTAACTGGCCGGGCCGGTGACCCAGTTTGCCTGGAACACCCTTTCTCAATCGCCACACAATTCCCTACCTCCCCTCCTGCGGCTTCAGCTGTGTTCAGGTGTCATCCAATCGGTGAGCTGTTACCTGACAGCGCCCTTGCCGCCTCTGTGTCCTGTCCCCTGCCTATTTCTACACAGGACTTAGCACTCTCTGAGGTCTCATATAGTATACACATACAACGCATGCTACAAAATAAAAGCGCCACAGTGTCAGGTCCCAGCCCCCCAAGATGGTAGTCTGGACTCTGACCTGGGAAACTCTCAGGATTCCTCAGAAACCTTGTAAAGTGGGTTTCTGTTTGCCAGTAAGAGCCATTACTTTCTTATCTTCTCCTATAACCCCTCCCCACCCCACCCCCCCCGCCCGCCCGCCCGCCCAGTCTCCAGAGAGGGCATCTAGTTCTCTATTAAGAAGCCTCCCGCAGATCTGAGGCCCCACAGTAGTTCCCAGGCTGTTCCAGCTAACCGGCCCTCCTCCCTCCGCAGGGTAACCACTGGTAACTGGAAGGGCTTTCCCGCCATTTCCCCACCCTGGCGATTGCCTGTCTCCTCCTCTCCCTGCCTTTTCTCTTTGCTCCTCTCTCTGTCCCCTAGAGGTAGCCATGGCTAGATTCCCCCAGACGCCTCTGGCTATTCTCTCTCTTATCTACAGTAAAAATCCTTCCCCCTAGCCATGAGGTAGCCATCTCGGTGGTTTCTTCATTGCGCCCCTTGTTTACACATAGGACTATATCTTCTCACCCAGAGCCAAGCACCGTTTGTGATAGGCGCTGGACAAGTACGTGCTGGATAAATGAATGCATGGATAAATGAACTGGAATATGAAGAGTACAGATTGGGTTAGCCAAGCGATGGGGTAAGAAGCAGAGTGGGTGGTAGCAAAGCCTTTTGGTAACAGGAAACAGTGAGCTGTGTAGGCTTTCAGTAGAATGGTGTGACTGTGACGAGCTGGAATGCAAAACCTATGAGCAAAGGCAGGACCAGACGGCCCAGCAGAGCCAAATCCTGACAGGCTTTATCACCTTAGTGTGGTCCCGATCCTACTGGGATCCACTGTAGAGTTTCTGATAGGAATGGCATCATGAGGTTAGACCAATCTCTCAGGCAGCGTTCCGGGTAATGAGATACAGGGTAATGTTGCACTGCGTCAGTCCATCTATGCCCTTTGAGTCAAGCAACACATAGAATAACTCATCAATCAATCACTAAATTGAGAGAACTGTGGCTCACTATTGGGAGAAGGGAAGGGGAGTGGCCTCAGAGTCAGAAGAAAGGCTGCCCTTCCTTCCAGGCTTGGGCTCGAATCAGCATCAGCAAGACTGGTGTGGACCATCTTGTCTGCATGTTGTTAGAGCACGCCTATGCTCCGCATTCAGGCTCTGTCCTTTCATGCACCACTGGACTTCGTCCTAAGCCCATCTCTATCCTGAGTCACACTGCTGGTAATGCTGAACCGAAGATTTGGCTTAGACCACTCCAGGTTCTTGGGCACACACCTCACTTCTCTATTGCTTTGGGATCCTCATCTCCAAAATGAACTAATGCTACACAACAAGAGTGGAAGAGCCTCACGTAGCTGTCACAAGGCCTATTGCACAATAGGAGCACAATACATGGCAGTCACTGTGTCACTAGTTTTCAGTTATAAATCATTACGTTTAAAAAAAAATGTCTCACTGTGTAGCCCAGATTGGCCTTGAACCTGATAGCCTTGAGCCTCAGCCTCCTGAGTATTAGGATTCCAGGTGTGCATCACCATGCCAAACAGGTGACATATTATTCCTGAATCCTAAAACTGATATATGACTGCAGTCATGCACTACATAAAATGTAGTCATATAATAGACTGTATATGTGTGGGGGTCCTGTAAGCATTGCAGTGCAGATGGAAAGGTATCCTGGCAGTTGGGAGCCAAGGAACACCACAAAGTCACTGTAAGCGTAGCAGCTTACAGCCCTGCTCCAGGGAAAGGTTTCCCCAATGCAAGTGTAACTGCTGGGTTCCAGCAGAGGAGGGTTTCCCAGAGAAGTTTTTACAGCTCTGCTCTGCTCTGCTCAATAACCTGTTTATTGGGAAGGAAGAATCCAGGAGGGGGCTGCCTTGGTGAGAAACAGCAGCAAACTGAACAGGGTTCAGAGCTTATATAGGGTTTTGGGGGGTAGCTTTATAGGGTGGCTAGGGATTGGTGGAATTTTGTGGTCTGATTCTGGGGCAAGCTCAGGGATTGGAGGCATTTCAAGCTCAGGGACCTCAGGGATTGGTGGGATTCTGTGCTCAGAGATTGGTTGGATTCTTCAGCCTGACTCTGGGGCAAACTCAGGGATTGGTGGGATTTCAAGCTCTGGTCTGGGGTCAAATCAGGGTGTTTTTCCTTGGTCCAGGTCTCAGATGTAGTCAGGTGCAGAGTGTTTTTCCTTGACTCTTTTCACCCTACAGGTTCCATATAAGAGTGCTGAAAAATTCCTATTGTCTAGAGACATCTTAGTTACCAGTATCACAGCCCTGGCATATTATATATTTATTACTCACATGTTTGTGGTGATGCCTGTCATATAAAAATATAACACAACTGTGTACAGTTCATAAAACTTGAAATGACAATAAGCTATACTGCTGGCTTGAACATGCATTGTACTACACTTCCCGTCATTATCTTGGAGCACATACCTAATTTCTCAACTTCTGTGAAACAGCTTGCTATATCAGCTGGCAGCATCTTCCATACAGCCTAGCCATGCCGTAGTCTGTACCATAGAGATGTGCATATGCACTGATGGTGTTTCCACAACAACACAATCACATTAGTGGTGGCGTTCCCAGTACAAGGCTGCATCTTTAAGCATTGCATTGTTCTATCAATAACAACTCCTCCTCTTAGCACCTGGGCTGCTCTTGAACTTGTGATTCTCATGCCCCAGCCTCAAGAGTAAGGCATCGTGGCTAGCTCTCATTTGCTGAAGGTGAATAATGTGTACTTATGAGGACCACTCAAGAGTGCACTATAAAACTTTAAGGCACTATACAAATAAATGTCTTTAATTATTATGAATGTTGGCCTTTTCACGATTCACTTTGGGTTCTGCCATCACCTCAACCATTAGTCATTAATTTTCATTAATTATGAATGATATGGATGACAACGGTAACACAGTGGCCTGGCATTGACACCTAAACTGTTCACCCAAACTAGGTGCTGAGAACTGGGGACTGAGAAGAGTCACATACAGGTCCGCTTTGGAACTGTTTGCTTTACCAGAGAATTCTAAGTGTTAATTGCTGTCCATACTCTCTCATTTCAACAAAGTCCTCCCTGTTCTTTCTCGGGGAGAGAGGGTACAGTGTAGCACGACTTTTGAAGGCTTGTTTGCAGAGGAAAACTTAGGTGAGACCACTCTGTTGCAAACCTAGTCTCAAAATCCCACCTCGGGACCTTTGTGGCCGCCCACAACTTCCTCTGTAGTAAGAAGGCTTTTTCCTAGGCTCTGTTCCCGCTTCGTTTCCACTGATCTAAACTACAGGTTAAGTTTGGCTTCAGATGGAAGCAAACAAAAATAGAACGGCCCAGAACACGCTCCAGCTGTGAGGTCCTAGCTGATTCAGGCTGACTCAGTATTCCTTCCTGACGCAGGTCCACACAGTCCTGGCCCGTATTCGGGGTGACCCCCACCCCAGCTCACCGGTTCCAACGTGTCTCTGGGCTCTCCCGTGGGGTCTCGGAGGAGGGCCTGAAGCAGGGCTGGGGCGTTGGAGACAGGGAAGCGGCGACGAAACCCGCGAATGCAGAGACAGAGCCAGACACCGCCGAGCAGGAGCTGGCAGGAAAGAGACCGAGACCGCAGGGGGATGAAGTGACGCGCAGGGGAGCTGGCGCCCAAGGACTGTGACCGGCAGCAGCCGGGTGCCAATCTTCCCGGCCTGGCCACGCCCCTCGCCTCGCAGCGCCGCCCTGCTCTCTTCTCTATGCTCTTATCTGTCGGTTGGTCTGTGGAAGGTATCACCGCCTAAAACTTCCCTGGACAGCCTAATTGTCTAGCAAAGGTTCCGGGCCTCAGAGGGGACTAAGAAGACAGAGGTGGAAGGGTGTGTGCACACAAAGCCGTGGGCACTCCCCTTGGAAAAAGTACCAAAATGTATATATTTATCAGGGCCTGGTGGCACAGGGCTTGTGAACTCAGCTGGTCTGATGAAGACTAAAGCTGGAGGACTGTAAATTTCAGCCGCCTGGACTACAGAATGAGTTTAAGGCCACCCTGAACAATTTATCAAGAAGCCCCTATCACAAGAGAGAATAAACAGAGCTGAGAAACCAGCTCAGTGGTCGAGCACTTGCCTAGCATGTACAACATCCTAGGCTCACTCTCCAGTACTGTAGACAATTTATTATGTATTGTCTACCCACATGTACATACATGTATCTGTCACTGAGTACTGAACCCATCTCTTGTTTCACAGTTATGTGCAAGGACCACCCCATTCTCCCCCACTTCCCCCAGTCAAAAAAGGAAGAGGCCCCTCTTGAGACACTGCAGCATCTAAGAGGGGCAGCCAGTGATGAGGACAAAGAGAGCCACAAATGACTCAGTCTGGTCACTAAGGCTACCAGAAATGGGAGACTCAGGAAAATAAAGAAAACAAACAAAAACAAGCTGTGGAGTCCATCAGCATCAAAATCCACACAGTGGTTACTTATAAGCATTAGAACTAGGACATTTAGTGTTGTGGCATTGTCCTGTGGCGGGGGACTTGGGTTTGGCTTATAGAACTCAGTAAGATGTACTATAGATACTTTGACCTTATAATACTAATAATCACATGCCCAAATGTGGGTTTAACTGTAGTAAGACATGAAGCTTCACCACAGGACAGATTCCACAGGGACCTGGACTCCACCTCTGCCTGTGAGGATGACAAGGGTCAGGGCCCTGCCCACTAAGGAACATGGCATCTGTTCCTCTCATTTCGTTTCCGTCGTCTTAGGAGTCTCTCCCGAATGCCTGCCCCCTCTTGCTCCAGCATAGGAATACGGGGTCTTGTTTCTTTGACATGAACTTGCTCAATTCTTCTGAGTAGGAGTCACATGGTGAGAAATAATCTAAAGTCACTTGTGTTAGAACCAAGTAACACAAAGGAATTCGGCAAAAGAAACAAAAAGAAAAGTGGAATACGAACTTGGAGGATGAGAAACATTGACTTCTTGAATTTGAGTCTGCGAGTCAGAGGGAATGCAGTGAGTAGAGAGCTGGGGGACGTGTCATGAGTTAACAGTTCTGAGGGATGGCCTTTCCTGAGAACACAAAATTACAGGAGCTTTTTCTTCTTTCCTTTTTAAAGGAAAACTATGAGAGACTAACATAACCACACTGAGCTAAAATAAAACTGTTTCCTCCTAACAGAGAGGGGAGAAAAGGTGCAGCATAGGCCTCTGGTGTCTAGCCTTACCTGAGAACAGGGCAGCCAGAAGAGAGGCTCACAGCGCAGGAGCTCCCTTAACAAGGACCCTGCTACCAAATGTGGCAGTAACAACAGCCAGGTGTGGTGGAGCACACCTGCCCCAGTACTGTAAAAGCAGACGTAAGGGAACCTCCACATGTTCTAAAGCAGCTTGGTTTAAATATGAGCCCCGGGGTACTCAGGCCTAAATATTGAGACCCTGTGTCAAAGGGGGGGAAAGAATAACAACTTACAAAGGAGTAGACTAAATATTTAAAATTCTGAGATCATGGTGTGGAGAGATGGCCCAGTGATTGAAAGGACCCAGGTTCAGGACCCAGCACCCACATGGTGGCTCACAAACATTCTTAGTTCCAATTCGACAGGATTCGACACTCTCTTCGGACCTCTGAGAGCACCAGACATGTGCATGGTGCACATACACACATGCTGACAAAACATTTGTACACATAAAATAAAGAAAAATCTTTAAAATACTGTGAGATGATATTGACACATGGAGGTCTCTGGTCATTTCAAGTAGTTGCTAGGGTGAGAGTCAAGCTAGAATACATGTAGAAGGCAGAATAAAGCCTTTCCTATACAAATTGTATTCAAGGTGGCTGAATGCTCTCCTTTATAATAATAATAATAAAGGAATCAGGCAGTTTCCTCATTTTACAATAACTGAGTGGCTACTAGAACCATCTGATGGTCAGTATAAAATTTTCATGTTAGATGCATCAATCCAAAAACATTTGAGCTCACTGTGTAGCATGACAAATAGAGGCAAACAGGTGATCATGTGGGCTCCTACAGTCTTATTGCTAAACAACCAATCAGAGTTGGAGGTGTAGCCCAGTGATAGGGTGCTTGCCTAGCCCTGGTTCAGTCCCCAGCCACCCCCACCACATGCACACACAAAGGGGGAGTAGAAAATGTGTTAAATGATGCCATGCCATCAACCTTGTTTGGATCCTAGATTGAACGAATCAGTTCTAAAGACACTGAGGCGATTTTACCAGTGACCAGACATTAGGTGACATTCAGGATTTGTTTTTGTAGTTGTTTTCGATCTTCCCAACAGGGAGCAGCAAGTCCCCAGACCTCAGTTTCTAACAATATGGACCAAGCTCCTTGTAAAATAAGTCAATCCCAGAGTGGAGCCGGTGTGGGGCGTTTACCCACCACCCCCACAGCTCCCCAGAGTTTTCTTGAGTGCAAGCAGCAGGAAATATTAGACAGAAGGATTTATAGCGGAGAATCTTGCGGAGATAAACAGATAGAAAATAAAGGATAGCCTCGAAAGGGCCTGGAACCTTTTCCAATGGGGCCCTGACTGTCTCTGCCCCAGAGTTTTTATAGAGACGCCAAGGGGTGGAGCAAAAGACCTCCTCCCCCAGCACAGCCAAGTGCAGACCATCTCAGACACCTGCACTCAGGCCTGTGGTCCTAATCATCCTCTATGAGGACCTGTTGGGTAAAGCCACGAGGAACCCGAGAAGGGGCTCCCACAAACCAGGAAAAACACAAACTGAGTGCAGAACACCATGCGGTGCATAAAGGTCACAAAGTGATAGGGATTCTCTCACAGGGCCTCCTTAACGGCCAAGCTGGGATCCACATGGTTAGAAGATACTGGTAGTGAGACTATAATTCCTAGAATAAAACAAAACTGATATGAATAGTTGTGCAAATAAACTAGAACGGAGACAGCTCTTCCTGGGGGTAGAATTCTCGTTAATAAACACACTGGAGAAAGAAATAAAAATGACCACTGTCTTCCCTTTAAAGGTTGGCAAAAGGGCTCCCATTTATCATAGCAAGATGTTATAGAAAACACAGTTTTATTTCTAAAATACTGAGATGATTCAGAGTCACTTCTAAGACTTTTCATTATCAGTTGAGAACTTTGCCAACGGATGAGTCAACGGTTTTATTGTGATAGATGCTGGGACACGCTTTGCAGGTCCTTCCTCAAGGCCTGTGGCCACAGCTGCAGGAACTGCTGTCAGGTTTCAGTCATCACATTGGAAGGTTCAGGGTTTCCTCAGCTGAAGAAAGCGCCTCTCTTGTGGTCAAGCCCTTTCCCAGATTGACCCACATCCAACGTAAGGAAGTAACTGATAGGAGGGTGTAAAGATCGGGCCATTCTGAGTCAACTGATCTCCAAAGTAAGTCAGCAGTCAGGGCTGGTCACCTGAGCAGGCTTGCGCCATATCTAAACTCTCTGCACCTTTTGCTTGTCGCCTTCTTCTCTAAACCATCTATACTGAGTTCCTTGCCAAACTCCGCCCACGGCCTGCTTCATGGGCAGAACTAACCTGAAATACTGGAATGGTGACTGAGTTACTCATGAGTGGGTTCCATTTTTTTCTTATTATTTAAACATTTCTTCATCATGTGTATTTGTTACACATTCAATTGTCCTACATAAGAATATTTTCATGCATGTATGTACCATACAAAACACCCCTCCCTCCTAAACTTTCTCACCTCTCCCGTTAGTCCTCTTTGTTCCTCCAGAGTCTCACTTCTACCTTCAGAATGTCATAAATACATACAAGAGCTTATCCATAAGTGACAGAAAACATTCTCTCACATCTGACTTAACGTGATTATCTCCAGCTGCATCACCTTTCTGCAAATGACATAATTTCGTTCTTCTGTATAGCTGAAAAAGAAAATCCATTAGGCGTATATACCACATCCGTTCCTCTCTTGTTGGACACTCAGGTTGGTTCTGTAACTAAGCTACTATTAATACCGTATGTCTGTGATGTGTTAACCGAGTCCCTGGAGTAAATATCTAGAGGTGACAGAAGTAGGTCATAGAATAGATCCTTTCATTTGAGGAACCTCCACAATGACTTCCATAATAGCTAGACCAGTTCCTCACTACAGTATATAATAGCCACCTTTGTCCTCATCCTCACCAACACTTACTTTTTAAAAACACTTTTTTATTCTTTTCAAGAATTGATACATACGTGTGTAGATGTATGCCACAAGTGACCATGCCCTCAGACACCAGAAGGCATCAGATCTCCTGGAGCAGAAGTTACAGGCAGTTGTAAGTGCTCATATGGGTGCTGCGAAACAAATTGGGTCCTTTAGAGCGGCCTTAACCACTGAGCCATCTCTGCAGCCCATCTGTTCTTTTTTTAAATGGCTGCTAGTCCTACAGGGGTCAGATGGAATTGCAAGGTATTTTCGATTTCACTTCTCTGAGGTCTAGTGAGAGTGAAAATGGTTTTGTATGTCTATTGACCATTTTGTATTTCATCTTCTGAGAACGATTCATTATTCCTTTGTTGATTGGTTGATTCGTTAATCTCTTGTAGCTAGCTTTGTCAACATCACACAGCTTAGAGTCATCTAAAGAAAGCCTCAACTGAGGAATCACCTAGATCAAATTAGCCTGTGGGCTGCCTGTCCACTGTGGGCAGTACCAGCACTAGACAGGTGGTCCCGGGCTATCTAAGGAAGCTAGCTAAGCATAAGCCTGGGAGCCA